GAGAGATCTGTACGTGTTCTTATGTACTATATTAACCATGGCTATGTCCCAAATCTACTCTAATAGATTCCGTGGGAGCACGAATAGGGCAACGTTGTGGAGCCAGGGGGGTTTTCGAAAGCAAAAGTACAAGACGGCGAGAATGAAAATCTTTGAAGCGCGGCCGATATGGTCGTGTGCAATCTGCTGACCAATTACAATTAGGCGAGCCGCGCTCAAACGTCAAGTGCAATTAAGTAGGTTGATAATAAGCCAGCACTGATCAGTGATGAGGAGCTGTTGTGCACGGTATTGTGTAAATCGTCTAAGGACGAAAAAAAGACGTACCTTCCCCCCATCTTCCGTCGCTAGTTGACGCTGGATTAAGCGATTAAGCTCGTTCCTAAACCGCGAGGGGAAAAGACGCTGATCCAGAGGCACGAACAGCTTCACGCACATTGCACTCGCTAGACACATACACACGGCGTCGGTTCTTGGTCGGTATCCAAGCGTGCGAAGGCACAGAGACACGGCACTTCGGCGTGCCAAGGAAGCTTTGAACACGCCGCCAGCCCTTCCTTTCGACGCGGTGTGCCTTTTTCCTGCGACACTGCACTTTCGTAAAACTTTCCACGTGTTCACAACGGCAAGTCTCAACAATACACAGAGTCTTCAAGAAACTTTTTCGGCGAATGACGACGAACGAGTAGAAAACGTGTCCACAGCACGCTGGAAAACCGCAGCAAAGGCTAGCAAAAACGGCAAATCGTATCCCAAGCGAGTGAAGTCCGGTGGCTTCACTTGCGCCGCAGCGAACAAGCGGGGAAGCGCGATCCAGCAATTGTCATAGAGATCAGTGGTCATGTCGAACGTGGACAACTCGCGGCATCTAGTGGAAGGTTTCCGAACTTCGATGCGCCACTTTGGCGCCCACATTACTCGTTCGTAACAAACGTTCGGTATGGTCTCCAGTGGTGTTGGCACGCTAGGAATCCTTGATGCATGCCAGAAGCGTGACTGGAGCATGTCCCGGAAATGTCTAGAGTCACGTGATTTTTTAGTCAACTTCCATCTTTGGCATTCTGGAATAATCGGTCTGAATCGTAGGGTTCAAATGGAATGAAAGCCGGTTGGTACTCTGCGATGTTGATCCCCGAATACTGGGAGAAAATAAACCCCGAGAATGGCCGGTCCGTCATTTTCAGACGGAAAGCGGCAACATGCCATATGCAAAGTTCATTGTTCCAGGCCTAGGTTAATCACATATACTTGCACAGTTCTTTTTTCCATTAATTTTCACATACGGTGAGGTGCGTGCGTGGCGTCATTTTTTACTCGCGATTTATTATTCCATCATTGAGGTTATTTCAAAGGCGCAATCGAGAAAAAAAAATAAACCAACCTAACGGAAAACAACCCACGTGTTTCGAGGAAATGGGTCATAGCAACATTCTTGTCGATGCCGATGTTTCTTGAATAACTTGATTAGCGCATTGCGAAAGAGTATGTTTGGAACATTTGCACTATGGTTCCTTGCCGAGGGCACGAACCACCGATCATAGCGGTCAATGAAAAGAGTTTACAGAACAAGAGACAGGGCTGTGTAGCGAAAAGTATAATCTGCGTTGGGACGCTGTGCATGCCGTCGCAGTTGCTCAGCGTCTCAGTGACACCACGCGAGTTAAATTATTCATGAATCGCACTCACTGCTAGAGCATCCTCTCACCATGCAACGAATGCACTTACGTATCAGTAAAAAGTGAACACGCTCGTTTGATTGATTGATCCATCAGTCCGAGGCTGATTGACTGCTGCCTCACTATATGCCCCAATATCGCGTGCAATAAGGATACAAGAAAAAATAACAAATCGTCGTTTTTATGAACGAACGAACATTGCCCACAGCGATGTAAAAGAGCCGATAGACGAATAGTGCACCTGAAACGTGTAGTGGAACAGTCACCGTCGATGACCCTGTCGGCCCTTCTGCGACGCAGGTGTAGTTTCCGATGTCTTCAGGGAGGACTCCCTTGATGCTCAGAGACAGGCTGTTTTGGGACAGCCTCGCCAGAGAAATCCGAGCTTGCGGCGATATCGGGGCACCGTCCTTGCGCCAAGACAAAGACAGTTGGTTGGCTGGACCCGCAATGGACTTCTTCGCGAAACACGTGACCACGGCTTCGTCTCCCAGGCCGAGATCCGTTGGGAAGCCGAAACTCTGAGGCTTTGGAAGATCTACGAGGAATCGAGGGCCTCGTCAATTTACATGGCTATGCCCATTCAAATCGAGAATAAGGCCTACCTTGTGAATATGCTGGAGAGGCGGTTGATGTTAGAAGCAAGATCAGCAACGGCAGAGCTATTAGGTATTTTGTAGTCATAGTGCACAGTTGTGCCTGATGTTTTGTAAACAAGTTACCTACGGCACGTACAGCGCTGGAGATTACGAAATAAACCAAACGTTGACGTCTTCACTCGAGGGTGAGGTACGTCCGACCGTCGCTGAATGCTGCAACTTCTGACGTCCCAGTAGCGGCCCGTGGACGCTGGAGAGAGGAACCGTCCACAGACGGACAACTAGCACCACGTGGTGAGTAAAAGGGACACTTCGAAAAGAAGCGCGGATTTGGAAACAGGTTTCCGAGTTGAAAGGTCTGCACGCAGACGAAGTTAAATTCATAGAAAACAAAAATAAAAAGATTGCGATGATGATGATGGTTATGATGATAATAATAAAAATATTAATAAAACTATGATTTAATAAATAATAATAATAGCCGTCGTCGTCTCCGAATGATGAACCTACAGATGAGACAGGGCGGACTGCTCGAAATTTCGCTTTACATTAATTATTTTGAGGAGCCTTTTTCCATAAAAATTGTGGGCACAGCGCGTCTGCAGAAACACGTTTTTCCAAAAGTGAAGCATCCTCGCATTCCCCGTTCTACACGAAGCTGTTACCGCCTTGGCTTGTCAAAAACATGAGTTGGTGTATATGGCTAATCGGCAAACACGTGAGCACGTCGAAGGAACGTTCACGTTTATCGAACCACAAGAGTTTGAGATGGAAACCGCCGAACTCGGACAACTCGATATTATGGGGACAAGGGATCAACCGTCTCCATTTTAAAATGGCTGAACTAAACATAGAAATAGCCACGCAAACACACCAAGAACTCGGGATTCTAGCACTTGACGATGCAACACACGTATCCATCAACGCAACTTTCGTGCCTCCTTAAATAAGTAGGTGCATGCCTCTGACAACTGGAGCACACGAACTCCGATAGTGTGTGTCTGCGTGGCATCTCAACTACGACACCTCAATCCAGTGAAATAAGGAGTCCTTTTACCGGTTACTAGAAGGGGAACAGTAACGCCGTTGACTCCTCGAGTACCATCCGCGTCGCCGGCGAGGCAGGTGTAGTTGCCGACGTCGTCCGGGCGGACGTCTCTGATGGCCAGCGTCACGCTGCTCGGCGACAGTTTTTGGAGGAAAATCCGCCGACCGTCGTCCCTTATTGGCACGTCGTTCCGAACCCAGCTGACAACGGGCGCCTCCTGGCCGCTCAACGTCCTCACGAAGCAGGTGGCTACAGCGTCGTTGCCCATCGCGAGGTCGGACGGGAAGCCCAGACTCTGAGGCTTGAGGGACACGGCTATCCGTCAGGGATGATCGCAAAAATCAAATGAATATCCCTACAGATTGCAAGCGTTGGGAAGGTTGCCACAAAAGAGGAAACTGTTGGCAAGATGCTTACCAGAGTCACCAGAATCACCAGAGGCGAGAAGAGCTGCCAGCAAGAGCGTTTTGAAAGGAACAAACATAGGTGTCCCCTTCATCCCCGTACCACCACTAAAGACCTCGTAAGACATGGCTGTGACCGATCACACTGCCGGTGACCGACCGGGATAGTCTCTAACCTGTACTGGGCACTGCCGTATCAATGGCGCCTGCACAATGGTTCGAATTGCAGAGGCGAAGCCTTCGAGAAGAATCGTACCCGGAGCTGGACAGCTGGTGGCATCTAGTGGACAAACCGTAAACTTCGACAGATACACGACTTTCGCGCCCATTTTTCGTGTTCAAAACAGATGTCCGGTAGTAATGCCCAATTTTGTCAGGATGTTGGCACGCAAAGAACCGTACGGGTGAGGTTCGATTTGAACATGCCTCTGGAAGGCTTATAAATACTTAACATCTTCCATCTTGGAGTCCGACATTCTCCAGTAGTAGTCAGAGTCATATGAATCAGAATCGATAAAGGCCAGTTTAAATTCTGTACGAATAAAATGCCGATATGGAGCCCCGAAAACTGGGATTAAATAAACCCCGAGAATTCTCGGTAACTGAGATTCTGACAGAAGCCGACGACACGCAAAAAATCAGAGTTCATGGCATGAAAGGAATAAATTTGAGGTGCCACAGGTGTCGCCAACATGGAATTAAATCTTAGTAAATCCCAAGTATTTGCGCACTTTTTCGATGTATTGAGTATTGGCATGCCAGGCGGACACTTCGCCGCATGTTGTCATTTTTTACCCGTGATTTATTATTTGCCGAGATAAACTCGATAGCGCGGCCAAGAACCAATAGCCCAATCCGATTGGTGACAACCCACACCTCCCGAGTCATCGACATTTGTTGTCGGTGCCGATGACTCTTGAATCGTGTACGATTAACACACGTACGTTTAAAAAAATGAACAAAATATTCCTTGCCGACCATACGAACCACCAGCCATCGCGGTCTATGGAAGAATCTTAGAACAGGGGCTGTGTCGCAAAAGTAACGTCAGTGTTGGGACGCAGTCGTGATGTGCAAAAATTGCTCGGCGTCCCAATGGCACCACGCGTGTTGAATTGTTGATGAACCGCAAACACAAGCTACTGAGGTTGTCACTCACTGCTGCAGCTCCCCCCCACCATGCATTGTAATGGCAATCACGTCAGACGTGCAGCAGACTGTAGAGAAGAGCGAACACGTTCGCTCGAATGATTGATTAATGAGTCCGGGCTGATTGAGTCGTGCTCTGTGTCCCAATATAGCAAGCAATTATACAGTATACAAGCGAGCGATAAATAACGGACTAATTATAGTTTATGTGAACGAATGAACGTTGTATGCCGACAGTGATGTGAAATAACCAAGAGATCACTAGTGCACCTGACACAAGAAGTGGAACCGTGACCGTCGACGATCCCGTCGGTCCTTCTGCGACGCAGGTGTAGTTTCCAATGTCTTCGGGAAGGACACTCTTGATGCTCAGAGACAGGCTGTTCCGGGACAGCCTCGCCAAAGAAATCCGAGCTTCTGACGATATGGGGGCACCGTCCTTGTGCCAGGACAAGGACAGCTGATTGGCAGAAAGTAAACTGGACTTCTTCGCAAAACACGTGACCACGGCTTCGTCGCCCAATCCGAGGTCCGTTGGGAAGCCCAAACTCTGAGGCTTCGGAAGATCTAAAATGAACGGGGGTCTCATCAAATCAGCAGCAGGGGGTCGAGAAGACGTTAAGTGATACGTGCGTGTCCAAATACTTTTATCTTTATTATCAGTCTGTTGCAACGTAAAATAATGTGGATTATGTGTCAGACGGAGCTTTCTCTTTGTGGGCTTCAGACTCGAAGAAAGCAACTCTGACCAATGCTCATCCCCTTTTTGCCACGTCAGAAATACGGCATGTTTGTACGGCGTAGTGACGTCATTCAACGGGTGCCTGGAGCGCGTATCTGACTGGTCTTTTTGGCATCCTATTCCGCCCATACATCGAAAGTGGATCCCGAGGCAACAATGACGTAACGAAAGCCGGATTGCCACGCTGTCGGACGTCGCAATCCTGGCGATTGGTCGTAGACGTTCCGGCAAAAAGCACGAGCAAACGCGAGATGTCGCTGTCGTCACGGCGTCTCAACTCCTGGGTGCCTAGTCTTCCGCGGACTGTCAAGAAGGAGGGCGACCTCTGCAGCAGAACAGGCGTCTGCCACATACATCACCGCTGCTGGGACGCCGCCAGGATCGTGACGGGCGACAGAATAAGACTTCTGTGACGTCATCAGGCGGAAATCGTGAGACCACTTTTTTGGGCGCCAAAAACACCAGTCGGAGGCGCGTTCCTACCTTTCTATCAACACGGGGGTGGAAGCTCTTCCGTGGTTTTTATGTTGCACCAACCACAACAGAAAAGGCGAACGACTAAATTGAAAAAGTGCTCCCAAGCCCTAAAACGCAAGAAATAGTTCCACCTTCCTTTCTATCCAAGCTGTACTACATATGGTGCCCGGAAGGCGTCGCCGACTGGTGTGTTCAGCGCGTCCAAAAAACTGGTCCCTCGATTTCCGCCTGATGACGTCATAGAAGTGTCATGGTGTCGCCGGCCGCGATCCTGGCGGTGTCCCAGCAGCGGTGGTGGATGTACTGATCTCTATTGTAGTAGGCTGGATTGCGGATCGAGGCTCGTCTTGCTGGGGTCAAGCGGCACCACCGGCTGCCATCACTTAACACAACCAAATGCATGGGACTCGATAGAAAAAAACGCGAAAAAGTGCCGTTTCCCTTGTTTTTATGTTGCACCAACATTGACAGGCTTTCCCTCGGGAAGCCCGTCAAATAGCTCTCGCACAAACATTAAGACTAACAGCCCTCACAGTTCTTATAAATAAATGTTTTGTAGTCGAGAATGGACGAAAAATGTCATGTAACGCAATGAGACAAGAGTCACTTAGAGTTACCGCTGAGTCGGTGGCGGTTTCGATGAGTTGGGTTTAGCAGACGACAAGCTCGAAGGCTTTGCTACGCGGAATTCGCTCTTTCCCGGAAAGCCGCTGTCAACATTGCACTTTTCCGACATGCGTCAAATTCTGGGCTTCCCCGAGGACGGTCTTATTGACGGCAAGTTCCTTTGTTTACTCCATGACGAGAGCAAGCTTACCACCTCAGCCGTGGGTCCTCTGGCACGTTTGAATTATCAATGGTCATTCGAACGCTTGACAACTACAGATTCCATCTCCAGACACACGATGTAATGATCGCAGCACATCATAAAATACTCGCCTTCGAGCACAGCGTACAAGCTTCAATATTCCTACTAGTTTGTGTTTCTCCGATAGAATCAAATGTATCGCCTGGCGTTAAGGAACGGCCGCCGGTGGTGCCACCGATAACCGACGGGCTGATCAGTTGGTGGGGATGTAGCACACGCCTCTTCTGCTGTAGGTCCCGCTCCAGTTGGACAGTCCACGGAAGATTCGGTAGCCAGGAGTTGGGACGCCGCGACGACAGGGACACTCGCGTTCGCTCGTGCTACTCGCCAGCATTTCTACGCCCAACCGCCAGGATCGCGACATCCGGCAGCAGGACACTCCGGTTTCCGTGACATCGTTTGTTGCCACTTAGGGAACACTTTTGATGTATGGGCGGTATGGGACGCTAATCAGTCGGAGACGCCCTCCAGGTACCACAGCTGTGGTATACTACTCATGTAATATGAATATGAGTGGGCTGTCTTTCTTCCTGGCTACGAATTTAAAACTATTTGGTAATACTTTATCTACGCATTATTAGTGTCATGTACGCAGTAAAGTAACCTGTTTCGCTTTCCGGACTAGTCGTAATAATAATAATAATAATAATAATAATAATAATAATTCAGTTCCTTAGTACAACCATGCTGTCTTGAGATTCAAATAAAACAATAAGAGACTTATGACGACCACGCTCGGATTATAAACGAGGAATTAGGCTTACCGGAATCTAGACTCGTCGCCACAGTCGAAGCGATCAGCAGAACGACCGAAGTAAATAAACGCTGCTCATCCTCCATCGCAGCGTGAACACTGAATAATTTATACGTTCCAAGAAAGTAACGGAGTAACGTTCATTTGTATGCTCGATCCTCGCAGAGCTCCAGTCTCTCTCTACTCGCTCTGCGTTAGCACAGGAAGTGCCGAAAAGCGACCACTGTAGAAAGAACGCTTATTTCCCAAATGCGCTCGACGTTACTCGATCGTGGACAACTAGCGCCACATACCGGAAACCGCGCCAACCTTTAAAAGCGCGTTCCAGTGGTATGAGCCGGAGTTTCCGTAAAACCGCTAGATGAGAAGTTTATCGACGTCCACCTATTTTGGCGGCGAATTTCATGGTAGTTGATCGCACGACGACGATCAACTACTGTTTCATAGAAGGGCGTATGAATACATGAATTAATTCATCTTGGCGCCATATCGTTACATCATACATGCGGTACAAGCGTCTAAAAATACGCAGCGATGTGCAGCGCGTGACATGCTTTGCGGGAACACAGGATCATTCAGACGTTACTTGCGTTTTTCCCATCGCAAATTAGTTCGAGAACCAGTATGCCGCTTTTACGGCGTTCCCCAGCGATGCGATTGGTCCGAGTCATTTTGGTGGCACACTTTGGAGCAGCTAAAAATCCAGTTTGCAGCCGCAAAAATATTTTTGGAGGCATAAGCATACTCTTCATTTTCATTCATACCACTGCGAATATTACGTTAAGACGCATCTGTTTACCTGTCCAAATACAACACAATGTGTCTTTGCCTTCTCACTTATATCCAACCTTTTGTTAGCGTCAATCGCGTGGAAGGATTGATTCCCCCGAACACAGAACTGGCCGTTTAGTTCAGCGTAGACACGGCAACAATATGCTGATCGATGAAGGACAGTATGAACTGCCGTGAAAGGTTATTTTAGTTCATGAATCAAATGTAAACCAAAAAGTATATTCCACCGAAATTGTGTCAAAATATAATAATTCTGAACACCCAAACAGATGTTTCCCTAAAGGTGGTAATAAAACTCATTAGTAATTCAGATAAAACAAAGCATTTGTCATATTTCAATTTGAACGTCAGCGACATCTTTTACGTAGAGCTTCATGGTAGCAAATATCAGCACGTGGCCGATAGATATGCTTCTTAAACGAAAAAAATACAATCCAGCCGAACTTGCTAAAGTTATTTTATATAATCTACTGACTGTGCCATGGAACAGATGGAACCCATATAAAGGTAATAACTAAACAAAGATTTGAAGGGAAAAAAAAGCATGGAGCAGCATATATAAATTTTTTCGCAACACCCAAGTATTCGCCCTTTCTCGCGTCAGCTGAAACGTGGTGGCGCCACTGTACAAATAGCCCTCGAACACCTCCGGTTCCCAGCTATATTTGCGAGACCAAATTTACGCGCCATTTTCGGGAAACGGTCGCTTATGCCACTCTTACAGATAATTCACTCTTATGGGGAAAGAATGATGCGTAATATTGTAGAAAATACACCAGGACCGGAAGTGTGCTAGGGCTACCGGATAGATGGCGCCACTAAGTTGGTTGGCGAAAACAAAAAGGACGAGTACTGCTAAATTTCGTGTTTGAAAAGCAAAATGTCGTCGGAATATTGCATGTTCACGAACGCTGGCCGCAATATTTTTTTTTATTATTATGCGCTGTAAGGTACGGTTGTTTAACACTCACCAATTTCTTTAATTTTTTTTTTTAATTTTTGACGGTTTTGTTTTTAACATCCTGTTCCGCATGCAGAGCAGGATGTTACACACAGAGGCGAAGGAGGCATTGCGGTTTTGCGCGTCTTGCTCCGCCGCAGCGCATTCTTGTGTTAGGGCGAAAACACTCCTCAATGAAAGAGCGTTTTCGCCCCAGCACAACGGTGCGCTGCGGCACAGCAAGATGCGCAAAGCCGCTTCGCGGTTGTCGCTTCACAGCAGTGCACCAGCGCGTGGCGAGAAGCGCACTCAACAGAGCTAACTAACCTATTAGAACAGATCACGAGCGTAAGAAATATTGTGAAAATGTCGTGTACTGTGAGCGTTTGATGCAGAGGCCAAATTAAATTGCACGTTATTTGAGGCGATTATTGAGTTTCGAAAATTCGCACCAGCGATGATCCGGGCGTGTAGCGGGGCGCGAGCTATCACATTTTAAGCGATAATAAAGTTACAGTACAACTACGTTTTGGCGAAATATTGGCCAAAATTCATCCTATTTCGGCAAAATACAGCAGGATAATTACTTTGGCACAAATGGCGCAGCAATCACATCACTGCATTCCTCTCTACACTAACTGCTCTGCCGGCAACATGTGTATTGCCCGGTGAGAAAAATCGAGGCACAAGGGTTCGACTCAGTGTCCCCCCACACGGTGTAAGTCATGGGGTACCACGTATACAACTAGTGTTCCCGTAACGCTTTATATTGGGGTATACGATACCACGACCGTTATTTTCCGTTTGACGAAACAGCTGCGGCAAGGCGTACATACAAGCACACTAGGGCCTTTTTGAAAAGATAAACGTTTCGTATATTATTTTTTTTTAATCAACATGCTAGAACTTATCAGTATAATATAAGTCGTACGTAAGGGTATGTAAGTTATAGTACTGCCTGATATGTTCTTGTCCGTTTATTGTACACATCTATATCTTTTGCTTTTACTGGAGGTACCGATCGTGTTTTGCAGAAGCATAACTTGAAATGAATGCATTGGGTTATTCTCCCTTGCCAATTTTTTTTTATAGAGTGAGGTTGTGCGACATACAAACGAGAGAATGAAAAAAAAAAACAGCAAGAAATTTCACTGATGGCACAAGGACGACGCGAACAATAAACAGCCACCGCGTTCAATCGTTCTCTTTGAGAAGCATCAAAGCCGGTTTCGGCGATCCCTGACAAACATCATGCGCGTGCAGAGACTCGTACCGCGACCTCCGACGAGAACGCCATTGGCTGTGGCTACTGTCACGTGATTGCTTCCGCCAACCAATGTCAGCGAGGGACCACCCTCACGATAGCCCTATTGCGGCGATCACACTATTGCAGCGCCACCAAGGTTCGCGATATACCAAGTCAACTAAATCCGCTAAATTTAAAGGGCAGTACCCTAGTGAGAAGTCTTATACGTATAAGAAATGTATCGGTTCAATTAACGCATATGATCAAATGAGATCACATAAGAGCATATAAGAATCGTGTAAGAACATAGAACAATATACGATTATGTAAGAAGTCATAAAAGACTTGTTATCGGTTTCTTATAACTTCTTATATACTTTTGGTTGGTTCTTATATGATCTTATTTAATCATATACGTTTATTGGACCAAGAAATGCCTTATTCATATATAATTTTTCATTGAGGTAGTCACATGACTGGTGTTTGTCGCTCTTTTCGGTCCTTCTCCACATACCCAACGCAATTGTGTATTCTACGTTACTATCGGCAAAGATGTGCATGAGGTGTTGTCATTCTGTGTATTTTACAAGGATAGTTTATAACCGTTCTAGCGTTCATCATACCTGGGCGAAAAATGCCGACTTACTGGGCTGCGAACGCATGCGGGGCGTCCGATTTGTCGCAGAAGAGAGCTAGTGCGTATGCTCAGGATACGTCCCACAGCCCAGTAGACAAAGATGGCGGCGCGCAGAGAGCGGTTATTGGAATGTTCTATGGACCAAAACGTTGTTTACAAGCTTCGCGTCAAGGGAAGCGTCTGCACATGCGCCGACAACAGCGCCACCGCAGCAGTATGACGTCAGAGCCCCGTGTTGCCGTATAGAGGAGAGACAATTGGAGCGTAATAATCACCGACGACCACGAGAGGCACAGTGACGTTCCCAGCGATGCCCTCTACGCCAGCGGCAGAGCAGGTGTAGTTTCCAATGTCTTCGGGACGCAGGTTCCGGATGGTTAGGGTGATGCTGTTGGAAGACGGCCTGGACAGCGACAGCCGAGCTCCGGCCTGGATCTCTTGACCGTCCTTCCACCAGGACATGGACGGAGAATTCTGTCGATCCCCGGAACTGATGCCTTTCACGAAGCAAACTGCCACTGTATCCTCACCGAGTGCCAGGCCAGATGGAAAGCCGAAACTCTGGGGTCTCGTAGTTCCTTATAGGGCCAAAATAATGTGCAATTAAACAATTGATTGGTTAACCCTAACCTTCTAGCTTTTCAAGACGGTATTAAGTGGTAGGCTTACCAGCAGGAGTTGGAAGCAACGACATCGTTATAGATACCAGGAGCCCAAGGATGTTCGACGTTGCCGGCATAACGCGGGGATAGAAGTATTTAACTTCAACAGCGATCCAACGATGGACCGTTTAAAAATCACGTCAAGACCGAAATCTGGTAGCATTGACTTCGCGCAGCTGATCGTGTGTGTGTGCAGCTCTTGAAAAAAAGTCGCGTCCGTGCGCTTGTACGGGCTTACGAACCACCGCCACTCTTACGGACAACTAGCGGCGCATGGTGGTCGCCGGACTAACTTGAAGCAAAGGCGCATTTTCAAACCTCTTCAAAGAAAAAACGAACTTCATTTCCTCTCTTGCAGATGTACTACAGGCAACCAGGCGCGTAGCCAGGATTCTTTTTTTTTCTTATTTTTTTTTGGGGGGGCGGGGGGGGGGGGGGAGAGGAGGTCTTTGCAAACTGGAAGATTTGAGGGGGGGGGGGGGGGAGCGGGGCAGGGCCCGTGGTCAACTTCCCCTCCCCCCTGGCTACGTGCCTGCATGCAACTGTTAATCTTCATGATTGAGAGACCGAGATCGGCACTTCTCCGTAAGATTTCAATCTTTCTTTACGTAGAGTTATGTACTAAATCAGAGACATGGCATTGAACATTTACGGTAAACTAGCAGTGTCCAAGTCCAGATATCGTCATAAGCGTTATAGCACGTAAATGCACAGAACACGCCCAGCACAGGGCTGTCAATTGCCGTGTCGCAAACATGCTAAATTTTGCAGATCGATAGCCGTTTACCTAATACCACGAGGGGCACGATGACTTCGTTGGATCCTTCGGCGTTGGTAGCGGTACAGGTGTAGTTTCCGATGTCTTCTGGCCGAATCTGTCTTACGGTGAGCGTCGAACTGCTGGCCGCATGGAATACCGTAATCTGGCCGACAGACTTCAACTCTACGCCGTCTTTTTGCCACATAATCGAAAGGGATCCGCCAGCTTCTCTTTTGGCGACGCATACTGCCGCCGTGTCATCGCCGAGCGAAAGATCCGGAGAGAAACCAGTACTGTGAATTTTCGGTGGGCCTGTGAAATGAACGAGGCTTAGCTCGAGCCCAGAAGTCGAGGTTATTAAATGTCGAGAGGCGCTTACCGTCGCCCCGCGCAACCGGCAAAATCATCACGGTGACGGTTGTAGCGACGGCAAACCATCTTCGGACGGCCATCTTTGAGTTCTCAAACAATCGCTTGCACCAAATGAGATAAACTGAGCTCGGCGGCACCGCAGACAAGTGGGGTAACGTTCACGTATAGACTGGACGCCGTCTGCTGTCCTCACTCCGCATGGGTGAAAATTGTCGAAGATCTTATAGGTGAAACGTGGACTACTAGCGCCACATTGTAGTCGGTTTGAGAACGATACGTATCACATGCATATTCAGACTGAAAAACGCGGGAGTTCTAACGTCGTTCAAGAATTGCACGGCTTGCACATGTATAGGAGCACTCGTGGGCCGTATCCCGCTTTCATAAATAGTGAAAAATTAAGAGACAGAATTCTTTAAGTTTCCACTGCACATCGTCCTCATAATGAAATGTTCCCTGATATCTGTTTCATGGGAACTCACTTGGAAGCGCTCCCAGATTCGGTGTTTCGAGGTTTTTCGTCATGCAACGAAAACATAGCGTAGCTTCACTGATAACGTAAAAACACGATCTTTGTTCTGTGTCGTTGTATTATTATGTATTACATCATCGTTCTCAACGTGACGTGTTTCAGCCTTCGAGTTATAATATTTTCATTATCTACCAGCACGACTGCAGGTACACAGGAGAGGAAGGGTCGACAGCCTGTCAAAAAGCCAATTGAAGTGCAGTAGTCAAACTAAACGAACGAGGCTCTGAAGTTTCCTTATAAAAAAACATGAAATAAAACGTTCATACCGGGTATTTTGAGCCTTTTATGACAGACCTACGTGGCTTTTGAGCACGATGAAGTATATACGCCGTGTGCACAACGATGTCAATGCACACGCTGAGACACTTTTACGAGATGACGCTTAGGGTACAATCAATCCTTTCGCAGATATCCGGCCCACCTGTGACGTGCAGGGTCGCGCTGACCGTGTCCTTTCCAGCGGGGTTGCTGACTTGGCACGTATAGTTGCCCACGTCTTCGGGGCTCACGCTGCGGAAGGTCAGCGTGGTCATTCGGCCGGACACTTGGGCTACGGACATTCTGTCGTTTGGCACGAGAGGCACCTCGTTCTTGAACCAGGCGAACCGGTACGGCTCGGTACCTCGGCGAACGTAGCAGTTCAGGGTAGTTTCTTCGTTCACAGAAAGGTCATCCGGGAACCTTAACTCTCGAAGCTTCGGAGGTTCTAGAATGCAACATGGCTTCTGTTCAAGCACATGACCCTGAGAAGGAGTAACAGATATGGTCGTACAAGATGTTTAATTACTTAACAACAATGGGTGGTATTATGCTGGGATTTAGAGAGAGAGAGAGGGTGAGAAAAAGAAGAACAGAGAGGTTAACCTAGTTTAAAGTCCTGGCTGGCTACTCTGTTTAAGGGAGGGGGTAGTGGGGAGTTAAAAGAGGAAGGAAATGATAGAAGAACATAGAACAATAAACACGTCAAAAAAATGGTGAAGCTTTAATTTTACGACGGAAGATTACTAGTACTATACATTAGGAGATTTCGTGCTAGTCTAATGTGGCTATTGTTAAGGCGTATAAATGATGCAACAGTCCCGAGTATAAGTAACCTCTTGGTTCTTTCATTATTTAACAATTTGGAATAAAAGCTGAATAGGCTATACGTTCGCGTTTAATGGCTATTAAATGTTCCATCAGAATTAGCAAACAAAAATACAGATTGCAGCTAGGAAGGATTTTCCTCTGCTTACTGCATGATTTATATACTTAATGAGGAACGTAACACGGCTTAAACGGCAATATAATTAAGGATCATCAAAACGATGCTATCGCAATGAAAGATATGAGAAGCGACAATAAAAGGCTTACCTGTCGAAGCTTTTTCGCCGTTTGCGAAGCCAAATGACGTCAAATGCAAGACGACGAGCCATTTAAGAAGAGCGCTTATCTTCATTGGTGGTTACACAACAAACTTGAGGCAAGCTTCTAGTTGAATAATGTGGAGTTCTTTAGGAAACAAGGTTGAGAGTGCGACAGTTCCGTCCGTGTGCCACTACGAAACACGACGAAGAGACGAACGAAATTCACTCGGTATGTATCATTTTCTCGCACATGCTAAGAAGCTGGACGGGCAACTATCGCCACCTCGTGGCCCCTCGAGCAACTCCGGCGTTCATGCAGAAAGCGCGGGACGTGTTCGTGATTACGGTATTACGAAGCTGAGAGTGTGTCAAATTGTTAAGGGGGGTGCACAGAAATTTGTATATTCATGTGTTAACAAGCGGTGCAATGAAGGAGATAAGTCGCGATGTCGTATGACGTCAACAGCCGTGGATATAAGAAAACAGGAGCAGTGCATTCGGGTTAACTGTGTCATAAACTGTGGTTCTGTTGCCTGCATGATTTACTACGCAACTACGAACAACATTACAATGTTCGCGCTTGTAATTCATTCGTTCTTATCGGCTCGCAATCTCACTGTCTGTACAGCGATAATGAGATGCCCGGGACATGCCCTGCGTTTCTTAGGCTCTCAGTGTGACGTCACATACCTTCCACGTGACGTCATATGGCATTGTAGCAGCCGCCATTGCTCCGTGCCATGCTCCTGGGCCCTTATCTTCTGCCGCATACATCTCGCAAAATCGATTTTTTTTTTTTTTTGGCATGCCATGCGGAGAAAAGCAGTCTCGATGTTGCCAAATGTATGCTGCAAAAGGTACGGGCACAAGAACATGGTACGGAAATAATGCAAGTGCCCCACAAACCGACGGTTTCGAATATGACGCTGGATGGTTTGAGTCTGGGCCGCGACCCAAAGCCGTTCTCGCATCGGGGCGTGACATGGGGACAAAAGATCCATCTACCTTTCACGGAGAGCACGGCGGTGTACGAATCGCTTCCTGTGGGACTGCTCACGACGCAGGTGTAGTTCCCGATGTCCCCGACGGTCACGACGTCAAGCGTGAGTAGAGACGACGATTCCGTCAATTGCCTGATGGTGACGCCATGGCCGAGGGGTGTGCCGTCTTTGAGCCAGGAGAACTCAAAAGGTCCGTCTCCTTCGAAGACGGTGCAGTGCACTTGCGCCCTTTTGCCAATGGTTACTTGACTCGAGAAGGCGAACTCCTGGAGATTCGGGGCGACTGCGTGGTTTTAGGACGGAGCTATTAACATCGGCACTTTATAGATTTCATGCTGGGCCGCTATGGCGTCCATGCAGATGGCACCTACCTCCGACGGTCGCTCCAAGAATGTGTGAGAAGTATAGAATCCGGAGACCGGATGCGAACATGTATCGGGCTCTCGATGCCATGGCAGTAAGAAGGCTCCAATGCTAAGCAAACGTTTTTGTTCAGAAAACTTCTACGATCACAGAGGAAAATTGTTTCACGAAAGCACGTCACGTCGGTCGAGCGCGGAGACACAAAGTACAACCTAAAATTGTATCAAGGGAAATCAAATGACCGAAAATCCCGCGCAAGGTGTGGACAAGTGGCGCCATCCAGGCGAGGTGACGCAAATCAACATCGCAGAGAAAGAGGTAGAGCGCTCATTTCTAAACATCGAATTATCGCGAGAATCGCGTAGTTTTCGTGACATCCCCTCCCGGGTACCCTTTTGGACGATTGCACACGTTAACGACATCCACACACAGGAGAACATCCACTTTCAATAAGTCATATAACTTGATTGTAACCTAAACTAGGGCTGTTAAAAAAACGAAACAAAAAAGAAAAGCCAGTGGCGCGTATTTTTATACATTTCTCGCCATACATTATATCCTCAGAATAGACCCATAGAAGTGTTCACGCAATTCTAAACGAAAACCAAGGATTCACCTGTGACAGTCAGAGGAACTGTGACCTCGCTTGACCCCTGGACGCTACTGGCGATGCAGGTGTAGTTTCCAATGTCTCCAGGCTCGATCCGTCGTATCGTTAGCATGGAGCTGCTCGTTGTTGGCATCGACACAGTAATTCGGTCGTTGGATTCCACTTCCACATCGTTTTTACGCCACAGGATTGAAACAGATCCTGAACCGTCCTTTCTCACAGCGCAGTGAGCGCCAGCCTCGTCTCCTAAGATTAAATCCGGCGGAAATCCGAAGCTGTGGACCTTGAGCGTGCCTGTGAAATTAATAATGCTTAGTGACAAACAGGCGGTCGACGGTTACCGGTTAGGCTTACCGCTACTCAACGCAGACGATACGATCGAGGCGACGACGACCAACACGCAGACGTTTATCGTCCCGAAGCCCATTTTTGGTGTCAAAAGTTTGCGATGTTCCGGCATGTAACTAGAAATTGTGAATTTGAGCAGTTGCGCAGTGACTGACTAAACGCATCATGCGAGACGACACCTCGAAAGCATCGCTCGAGAACTTGGAAAGAGTGCAGCGCGTTCGACCTCAGTGCGCATGCTTGGTTGTGTGAACGAAACGTGGGAGCCTAGCGCCACTCAGTGGACGATTTCAGAAGCGAGCCTCAATGTGTTTGACGCGGCGATATTTGAGGGTGGAGAAAGTGTCGTTATGACGTTCTTGCTACTGGTGCAGTTCCACTGGCTAAGACAAGAGTTGAGTAATGTAGAGTTTGCTCCATTTGCAACGAAGTCGGTTAGAAAGCGTGCTTTTGTTGTAGCCATTTTTTGTTTACCCGTAGCGCGGCCCCAACCCAAATGGATGTGAATAAAGAGTACGAAGCAGCTACAGCTCTTGCAACGTAATCGTACGATCTCCGAGCTCAGAGAAGTGTTTCCAGGCAAGCTCAAAGCTTGCGAGCAGACAAAGTACGACCATCATGTGGAGATTTGCAAATCCACTGGAGGCGATACCAATCAGCGGAGAATACGGGAAGGCGAGCAGCGGGCAGCTACGGCCTATCCAAGTCTGCAGCGTAAACCGGCGGGGCCTAGCGGCCAAAATGAGAACCAGCCGAAAGGGGGTTAAATGAACGTCGCTGGGGTCGCGAACAGCAAACGTAAAGAATGGTTTACCCAAAACCGTGAGTGGAACCGTGACTTCGCTGGACCCTTGCGCAGTGCGTGCGATGCAGGTGTAGTTTCCAATGTCCCCGGGCTGAATCCTCCTGATCGTGAGCGTAGAGCTGCTCGTTGTCTGGACCATCACTGTTATTCGATCACTGGAATCCAACTTCCCACCGTCCTTGAACCACGAGATCGAGATTGGACCCGAGCCTTCCCTTGTCAGCACGCACACGGCTATAGTCTCACCCCCGAGTCTCAAATTTGGTGGAAATCCGAAACTGTGGACCTTCGGGGCGCCTGTAAAAACGCGTTAGGCTTAGCTTCGAGTCAAATGACCGGTGACATTCTTTGGGCTTACCATCATCCTCGACAGGCGACGATGACGAGACCGTGGCGACGGTGAGTATTAGGCAGAGGACTGATTTTCCTTCTACGACTCTGGCTCGTCTATACGACATAACGAACGGAGGCGCCTGAAATTTACTACGCTTAATTGTTTCTTAGAGCGCGTTTCAACGCTGGTGTCGTGCACAACATGTCATCGTTGAGTACGTCAAAATATATTGCGAGTGCATCGCAGCGTTCCTCTTTGGTGCGCATGCGTGACTGTACGGACCAAACGCGGGCAACTAGCGCCACATGGTGTATGGTTGCCGAACCCACGCGGCAAAGTCCAGCGCGGCCAGATTTGAGGTTAGTTACGTGCAGTTGATGTAGTTGAGGGATCGGAGGAAGCGTTCCTTCTGCTCTGGAATTTGTGTTTGTGAGTGAACATTCCTTTACGAGAACCATTAGTAATGGTCCATAGAAAGGCACTTTGTGACCCATTACTTGGTCGCGGCATAACAAAAACGGTGCATGAGGAACCACGTCGTTGTGTCCTATGACGTTAACGTGATACACGAATGTAATAAATTGAGCTGCGTCCACGCACTTTAGTTGCATTGTCTGGGTTGGCAGACTATTCATTTCTACTTCGGTCGCACGACTTACTGTGTAGCTGCGAACACTATACTTCGGTCTTCGTTTTACATTATTTTAAATTGGCCGCGCCAACTCTCGCACACGACGAAAAAGTGGCGATGGCGCTTTCGGATATGTGTGCTGCGAATATACGTTTACGGATATGGTGTCGAAAGGCTTAAGTCTGGGCCGTGACCCAAGGGCGTGGCAAAGGTTCCCTCTACCTTTCACGGAGAGTGCGGCGGTGTAGGAGTCGCTTCCCGTGGGACTGCTCACGACGCAGGTGTAGTTCCCGATGTCTTCGACGACGACAGCATCCAGCGAGAGCACAGACGAGTCCGTCAACTGCCTGACCGTTGCGCGGTGACCCAGTGGCGATCCGTCCTTCGTCCAGGAGAAATCAAAAGGACCGTCTCCTTCAAGAACTGCGCAGTGCACTTGCGCCTTTTTACCCACGGCTATCTGGCTGGAGAAGGCGAAGTCTTGCAGCTTCGGAGCGACTGCGTGGTTTTATGACGGTGCTATTAACATTACAATTTCCAAGATTTTGTTACGGAGCGCAATGGCGACGATGAAGATGGCACCTACCTCCAGCGGTCACTCCAACAATGTGTGAAGAGTACAGGAACCAGAGGACGGACGCGAGGTGGTAACGTACATTCGACGACATGGCAGCTAGGAGGCACCAATACTGGCACAAACGTTTCTCTTTAGAACACTTCCGCGATTGCTAAGAGATTGAAACCGTTTCGCGAAAGCACGTCACATCGGTCGAGCGCCGAGACACGTAGTAAAACCCAATAGTAAAACATATCGTTTTATGAAGAAAAACCCCACGACCGAAAATCCCGCCGAGGTGCGGACAAGTGGCGCCACCTAGCCGAGAGGCCGGGAATCAAATTCACAGAGGAGGAGCGCTAATTTCCAAACATTGAGTTCTCGCAAAATTCGCGTGGATTTTGCCTATCCCCCCTTGGGTGTCCGTTTGCACTACTGTCCATGTCAGTATTTAGACATAAAGAACATCCATCTTGAACGTTGTTGAGTCTCATCTTGATGCCACCTTAAACTAGAACTGTGTCAAACAGTTCCGCGGCGAGTATTCTTTATACATTTATTGACATACCCCTAAATCCCCACATGAGGCTCAATGGAAGCGTGCGAAAATCCGAAGCGAAAGCAGGCGATTTACCTGTGACTGTGAGAGGAACTGTGACCTCACTTGACCCCTGGACACTACTGGCGATGCAGGTGTAGTTTCCGATGTCTCCAGGCTCGATCCGTCGTATCGTTAGCGTCGAGCTGCTCGTTGTCGGCATGGACACAGTTATTCGACCGTTGGATTTCATTTCCACGCCGTCTTTACGCCACAGGATTGAAACGGACCCAGTAGCGTCTTTTCTCACGACGCAATGAGCACCGGTTTCATCACCCAAAATTAAATCCGGCGGAAATCCGAAACTGTGGACTTTGGGCGTGCCTGCGAAATTAATAGTTTTTAGTGACAGGCAAGCGACAAACGGTTACCGGTTAGGCTTACCGCTACTCCACGCAGGAGATGCGATCGCAGCGACGACGACCGCCACGCGGACGCTGATCTTCCCGAAGTTCATTCTGGGCGTCGGAATTTTGCGATGTTCTTATATGTTATGGAAAATCGTGCATTCTAGCAGTTGTCCAGTAACTAACAAGTAGCATCGTGCGACATCACAGCACGGCTTGGATCGAAAAGCTTGGAAGAGTGGAGCGCGTTCGACTTAGCGCGCATGCGTGACTGTATGAGCGAAACGTGGGAGCCTAGCGCCGTGTGGTGGATGATTTCCGAAACGATCTCAGGCCTGTTCGACGCGGTTACATTTGAAGGCGGGTAAAATGTACTTTCGACGGTCATTGCAACTGGTGCCGTCCCACTGGCAAGGGATAAGAGTTGGTTACGGTAAAACCGACTCTATGCAGCGGATGAGTCATGGTAGGGGCTCATGACTCTAGCGCCCCCCCCCCCCCTTCCCCAGTCGAAGTCGAGCCGACCCTATATTATACACATGCATTTTGCCCCGCCCCCCCCCCCCCCCCCCCCCCCCGGCACCCCAAGCATCAAGCATAGACGTCGCAGGCACTTCTTCACCCCCTCCCCCCAGAAAAAAAAGAAAGAAAAAAAAATCATGGTTACGCCACTGATTCTATTCGTAACGACATAACGAAGTCGTTTAGAATGGATCGTGCTCTTGTTGTAGCCATTTCTTGTTTCCAGTAAATCTAAGCGGGACCCAGCCAAAGTAAACATGACATAAGAACAAATGAAGTACTTCAGCTCTGGGACCGCATCAGAGCCTTTTCAAAAGTCCACTGAGCAACACTGGGTGTCGCCCTTTCTTCGGCGACCGCCCAAGAAAGGGCGACCGCCAATGTTGCTTCTTAGACTTGGGGCTAGGTGGCGCAAGCTACCGCCCGTTACAAAGCCAGTAACATCCATCCATCCATCCATCCATTGGGCACGATGCGTGTGAGTGTATCCGAGTCCTCGCCGAACGCTGACGTAGCCCTCGTATCCAATATACATGCTCAGAGGTCACGTGCTCGAACAATGGAGGATTCGGATCATTGTCCCAGCAGTTACTGGATGGCGCTCGCACTTTTGAAAAGGCTATATTGCTTTATGTCCGAGCTTGTAGAAGTTTCATCTAACAAGCTCCAAGCTTGCGTGCAAGGAAAACGCGGGACGTGTTTGTGATTACGGCATAGGGAAGATGGGAATGCGTCAAATTGTTAATGGGTGTCCATAAAATAGAAAGCTGCCCTTTTTCGCTGCCCTTTTTGTGTATTAACAAGCTGTGATACGACGAGGATCGGGAAACACGTCACGGTGTCGTGGGACGTATTCATATACGGATATAATAATAATAATAAAAAAGCAATGCATTCTGGCAAATTGTATTAGACACTACAATTACCTGGGTTGGTAGACCGTTCACGTTGACTTTAGTCGCACGATTTGCTACAGAGCGGCGAACAATACTACTATTCTACGCCGATAATATGGAGTATATATCTCAAAATTAGGAGACAGCCGACGCCCGCACACGACGACGAATTACCGAGGCGCTTTCGGATACGCCGCACGAATCGGCGTTCAGAAATATAGTGTTGGAAGGGTCGAGTCTCGGCCGCGACCTAACGCCTTTTTGGGATCATGCATAGATACGGGGACAACGAATCCTTCTACCTTTCACAGAGAGCACGGCGGTGTAGGAATCCCTTCCCGTGGGACTGCTCACGACGCAGGTGTAGTTCCCGATGTCCCCGACGACGACAGCATCCAGCGAGAGCAAAGACGAGTCCGTTAACTGCCTGACTGTTGTACGGCGACCCAGTGGCGATCCGTCTTTCGTCCAGGAGAAATCAAAAGGACCGTCTCCTTCGAGGACTGCGCAAGTGACTTGCGCCCTTTTGCCCATTGCGGTCTGACTTGAGAAGGAGAAGTCTTGTAGCTTCGGAGCAACTGCGAGGTTTTGTGACGGTGCTATTAACACTTTGTCGATATCTTCACAGATCGCAATGGCGACGGTGAAGACGGCACCTACCTCCGGCAGTTGTTCCAAGAACATGGGAATAGTACAGTAGCCAGAGGACGCAGGCAAGATGGCAATGGGCATTCGACGACATGGCAGCAAGGATTTTCCGATACAAACGCTAACGTTTTTGTCCAGAAACGATAACAGAGAGATTAAAACTGCTTCGCAAAAGCACGTCACATCGGTCGGACGAGGAGACGCAGAGTAAAAAAACATCGTTGTACGATGCAAAATCCATAAACCAAAAATCCCGCGCAAGGTGTGGACAAGTGGCGACATCTAGGCGAGATGAAGCGAATTAAATTCGCGGAAAGCCAGCGGCTGAGCGCTCATTTCTAAACGTGGAGTTATCGCAATCATTGCATGGTTGTTGTGACCACTCTTTTGAGTGTCTGTTTAGACGGCTGTCCACGTCATCGACATCCACACTCGAAGAGCTTTCAGTTTCGTTAGTGTCACACCTTATATTGACTACGCTAAAGTGGTGCAGTTTCTAACAAATCCGCGGGGAATACTGACGCACCAATTCTCAATAGGATGCTTAATGGAAGTGTGCAGAGAATCGTAAACGAAAGCCGACGATTTACCTGTGACTGCGAGAGGTACTGTGACCTCACTTGATCCCTGGACGCTACTGGCGATGCAGGTGTAATTGCCGATGTCTTGAGGCTCGATCCGTCGTATCGTCAGCATCGAACTGCTCGTTGTTGGCATCAACACAGTTATTCGGTCGTTGGATCTCATTTCTACACCGTCTTTACGCCACAGGATTGAAACAGGCCCGGAATCGTCTGCTCTCGCAATGCAGTGGGCGCCAGTCTCGACGCCCAAGATTAAATCCGGCGGAAATCCGAAACTGTGGACCTTGAGTGTGCCTGTGAAATTAATAACGTTTGGTGACTGCAGGCAACCAACGGGTACCGGTTAGGCTTACCGCTACTCCACACAGACGATAAGACCGCGGCGACGATGACCACCACGCAGACGTTTATGTTCCTAAAGCCCATCTTGTGCGTGAATATTTCGCGATACTTCGGTATGTTACAAGAAATGGGGAATTTTAAAGAGTTTTAAAGTGACTCACAAGTCACAACATGCGAGATCACAGCAAAGCCTGGATCGAAAACCTCGGAGGAGCGGAGCGCGTTCGACTTAAGTGCGCATGCCTGGCTGTACGAACGAAACGCAGGAACCTAGCGCCACGTCGTGGACGATTTCGGAAACGATCCCAGACGGCCCGACGCGGCTATATTTGAGAGTGGACGCGATGTAGTTATGAGACGCTCGTAATCGGCGTCGTCCAACTGGCAGGGGACAAAAGTAGCTCGCTGCAGTGTCGACTCCACATATAGTCACGTAAGTTAAAGTCGCACTTTGGCGATGGCCACGTTTGTTTACCAGTACAAGGGGCCCAGCTGACTATGAAATAAATCATACAAAGTTAAACGTCCTTCTGCCTTTTTTGGTGCGCAGAATCAATGTTGCCAGTTGTCACCTGCAGCTTTTGCCGAAGTGCCTCGCGGAAGGTGCAAAAAGTGATATGCATCGTCCTAGCTGCTCCCTTTCCCCGGTACATCCTACCTGTGTGCGTTTGCCGTCACCCGCTGAGCCAATCACGTACAGAAAAAAGCGCAAGGTCACGCCGCGTTCACTGTGCGCGATTGCTTTAGCCGGTGATGGCAAAACGCGCAAGGACTCCACGAAGATGCACTTAATTGGTTCCATTGCAGCGCAGCCTTGGCTGCGGTCCAACTTAAGGTGCAACGGAGTATAATATAGTTCACAACGGAGAAAAGTGACATCTTTGTGATCTGCTAACCCTGTATCTGTACTAGACAAAAGGTCGCATTGCTGTGCAACTCCAAGCACCAAGATGGCGGCGCCCTCGAGCCGCTGGCAAGCCAACAAAGCCACGTGACGTGAACGGACAAATAACTTTCTTAACAGCATCAGACAGTCAGGGAAATGAGTGCCGCTACTTTGGACGACATATAGTGACTCTAATCGTAAGTGCCTCATGTTCAAGTTCGGGGACGTTTCACCGGCAGGCTTCGAGTTTGCGAGCAGAAAAAGAGACCCTCTTCTGTACCATTGCAGCGGGCGTAGAAAAGGGTTTACCCAAGACCGTGAGTGGAATCGTGACCTTGCTGGAGCCTTGCGCGCTGTGTCCGATGCAGGTGTAGTTTCCGATGTCCCCGGGCTCAATCCTTCTGATCGTCAGTGTAGAGCTGCTCGTCTGCACCGACAGTGTTATTCGATCGCTCGAATCCAACTTCTCACCGTGCTTGAACCACGAGATCGACACTGGGCCGGAGCCTTCCTTTGTCAACACACATAATGCCACAGTCTCTCCACCGAGTCTCAAACCCGGGGGAAATCCAAAACTGTGAACCGTCGGAGTACCTGTAAAAACACGTAAGGCTTAGCGTCGAGCCAACTCACTGGTAATATTTATTAGGCTTACCGCCAGTCTCCAGAGACGACGACGAGAAGACCGTTGCGACGGTGAGTATTATGCAGAGGACTACTTTTTCTGATATGACTCCGGCACATCTAAACGGCATACTGAACGGAAACGTCTGCAAATTGCTATGCTGCAGTTCTTCTACCATGTTTCAAAGTACTGGCGTCGTGTATGATATGGCGTCGCTGACTGCGTCAAATAGCGAGTGCACCGCAGCGTTCCTCTTCCCTACGCATGCGCGACTTTACGAACCAACCGCGGGCAACTAGCGCCACGTGGTGGATGATTTCCAAACTCACGCGGCAAGGTCCAGCGCGGCTAGATTTGAGGATGGTGAATCAGCGTTACTGAATTCAAGTCGTAGTCGACGCAGGTGAAGTGTGGAGCACGGCGTGGGAGCAGGCGCTCTTTCCGCTCTTGAACTGTTAGTTGAAAACAACCCGACGACCCCTGTGTGCCCGCGCACAAAGAGGTAATAGAACGTTCCTTTCTGTGACCCTCACTCGAGCTCACGCGCACAAATGAAGCTGTGAAGATGCATTATATGTAATCGTATTTGCGACCTATTCACGGCTATAGTAAAGCGTTTTCTATATTTTTTTTTTAAGTAACGAGCACCGTCTGGGGACTTGTCTGCGAACTAAAGATGAGGGACAACCCAACGTGCCTCCATCCGTCAAAGCACATTGGCATCGCGTCGTTGTATGGTCGTATCCCTAACTACCCTTGCTTTCTTTTTGCCTCATACTATGTGCTAGAAAAAGACGAAACACGCGCAAAAGTAGGTGCTAACAA